CCATTCAGCTTTCGCCCATTTGAAAGCATCGGCACAAAGCTGCCGTCGGCAGCAAGTCACTTGGGCATTCACTCAAAAAAACACTGCCCCAAAGAATCAATTAGCACATAAAGCCCCATGAAGGCGGGATCACGGAAAAGGCATCTTTCATCTGTCGGTGCCAATTGTACACTCTAAATACTTTAAGCCATTTTAAGGCCAAGTTTCAGCCCGGGGGATGATTGTTGCTAAAATTTTCCCGGGTGTAGGCTCAGATTCTCCCGTCTGAAGCCTGGAGTATTCAAAGCGTCGCTCTCTAACTAGCTGTGCTACCCATCTATGCAGTTGGGCGAAGCCGCAAACAAATTTTCTGGCACAAGGTCAGAGCAGTTCCTCAAACCAGCAGAGGCCGGAGCAATATTTCTATGCCCATCTATCTATCTACCTGCCCCAGCGACACATATTACGTGCCCCCCGTAGTAGTCATGCCCGTTTCAACTTGCCGCATTCAAATGCCTTTCACGGCTTCCACGGGGCAGACTTTAGCTGCAACTGCTACTCCGTTTGGGATCCGTTTGGGCTCCGTTTGGAACCCGGTCGCTGCTCAACGTGCCGCAGGGCTGGCCAATTTTCACGCCTCTCAAGGCAGTCACTAATTTTACTTTCTGGCCGGCCCAACTCCCACTCCCACTCCCAGTCCCATTCCCACTCAGCAGCAGAGTCGGTCACGCATGCGCCTTACGTAGCCCGGTCACGTTTGCTGGCGGGGGACCCGTGGTCGGCGAACTTTCGTGAAAGTTCTGTGTTGGCGAGTGCATAAATCTCGCCGCTATCTGCTGGTGCTTGGGATCTGGAGCTTGGGAGAGACCGGAGTGTTTGGGAGCCTACTCTGGTGGATGGGATCTAGACAATCGCGTTCCTGGCTACTTAGCGGATGTGTCGTCGCAGCGGTTCCCACATCAGCGGCTGCCATTGTTCTGCGGGGCACTATAAAGATGGTAATGAAATTTTCGAGTATTTCAAGAAATTTTCGACCTCTGACCTTTGGCTGGCTTGGCTGGGAACTGGGAGGGGCGGCAGCCACTGTTCTTGCCGCAAGCTGCATTAGCCCGACGGCCGTTGCGGTGGGCCAATAACGTTAATTACAAGTTATTGGCGTTTGCTGGCGCAATTACTCCCCGACTATAATTTGTTTATTTTATAACATCTGCAGCTGCGGCGACTGCGACTGCGACTGCGAATGCGACTGAAGCTCATAATAGGGCATTATAAACGCGTACGTCGTCGCATTAAAACAAACATAACAACTACGTGACTAATTATGTTGATATCAAAGTTGTTTCCCTCCCGTTTTCTACGGCATTAAAGTTCATTCCCTTCTGGGCGCGTTTATGCGAGCGCGGAAGAAAGTGAAATTAATGTTAAGTACGCGTGAAGCATGTGAGTTCGCTGCGGGCTTAGAAACAGTTTGGGCCTTGAAACTTGTTTCTGATTTAGTTGAAATAAATTAACAAACTGCTGGGGGGATTAGCCGGAATAAGAACTAGCGAAAACTGCAAAGACACAGCCCCCAATCCAGGCCCTTTGCGTGGGCTCAGCAGGCCGAAGGTTCAGTCAACCCGGTTTGGTAAGCTTTCCACGCTGCCCCTTGATTGAATTTAACTGAAAACAAGACTCTTTTTCGACGATTTGCAGCCAGAATTTTGCTCAACCACATCGTCAGTAGTGCGCATAAAAAATAGCTGCACGTATTTTGGTAAAAACCGCGCACAGAAAAGCAGCTACAGCAAACGAAACTACAACTAAAACGCGACCAGACAATAAAAAAGTGAAAAACACTATGCAAATGGCCCTTTCCGTTTCCCGCCGCCTCTGCACTGCCAAGTGCATGAGAAAATATACGAAACAGAAACTAGACGCTGACAAACTGGAGAATGGAAACCGAAAGTGCGTAATTAATTTCTTTTTCATTGGAGCCGGCTCCAAATGCTAAGCAGACGTGCCATCCCTAGGTGGCATGGGTGGCCATTTAGGCGGATCTGAGTGAAGAGAGACCGCTGGGCACAGGATGCACAGTCCCCCTCAAAATAAATTGGAAAAGTGCTAGATTTAATACAATTTTTACAGGGACAGAGCGGCATCCTAAGGACATTTAAGTCCCAGCGCACACAGACTCGCACATGGCACTCACACCAGCTCAGACACCCACTCAGGCACACACCCACCACACACACGACCTAAAACAACAACCAACAAGGGGCACAACTGATGTGCGGTTTTGGTTTCATGGCTTACGGCTTTGATTGCTGTCATCGCTCAATTGATTTTTCACTAATGCCGTCGATTGGCAAACCCAAAACCGAAATAAAAGTGAAATGCAAAGCATTAAAAACAGAAGAACTTAAACGCCAAAATAAACAATTTGTCGAACAGTGACGTGTGTGTGCGATTTCGAAGCAAACAATACATAAAAATCGCCGAAAAGAAAGGAAAGAGCTTATGTTTGACATGAAATTAAATCGCATTCGAAATGGGAACATGTTCCATGGCGAACAATAAAACTAAAATAGGATTAGTTGCGGTCCGTGCTTAATTTCACAGTGCGAAATGCAGGCCTGGTTCGGATGGGTTTCGTAGAATAATGCGAAAAGTGAAAACAAACAAAAAGCGTTACAGATACGCTTCCACATGGCAGCGGAAAAATTAAATCAAACCATTGTCGGGAGATTGGGCCACTTTAAAAGAACTTTAAAATTTCTTTACTCGTTACTCGTCGAGTAGACTAGATTTGTTGAATAGTATGTGACAGTGTGTCCGCCTGTCCGTATGAGCGCCTCCATCTCAGGAACTCTTAAAGCTAGAAAGTTGAGATCATGCATGCAGAGTTCAAATGTTACCCCGCCCACTTGAACGCCCACAAAACGGCCGAATCCAGCCAACCACGTCCACACTTTTGAAAAATGTTTTGATATTTTGCCATTGCACGTGCCAAAGAGTTTTTACGCAAATTAATTAAAATTTACAAGTCTAATAAAAGAAATGGAAATAAATATATTTTTCAAAACTGTGGCATAGCCGTTTCTTTGCGGCTTGTGGGCGTTAGAGTGGGCGTGGCAACTTTTTGGCAAATCGATAGAAAATTACAAGACTACGAACAAAATGAAGAAATATCTAAAAAATATCTATCTAAAAATATTAAAAAAAGTAACTGTGCCAGTTTTGGGCGGTTTGTGGGCGTGGTAACAAATTTGCGCTGCGTCTATGTCTCTGCGTTCCTCATCTATAAGACATCTAATGACTTTCTAGCGTCTATAGTTGCTTAGAAGTCGACGTTCATACGGACGGACAAACAGACGCACAGACGGACGGACGGACGGACAGACGGACGGACGGACATGGCCAGATCGACTCGGCTATTAATCCTGATCAGTAATACATATACTTTATATAGTCGGAAACCCTTCCTTCTATCTCTTGTATACTTTTCAACGAATCTAATATACCCTTTTACTCTACGAGTAACGGGTATAAACATTTTTAGATTTTTTTTCGTTTTATTATTTGATTTTTTAATTTCTATCGGTACCAAGAACATTTTGGCCAAAACTGTCACGCCCACACTTTTGAAACATTTTTTAACTTTCTACCAATACTCCAGAAATCGTTGAAGTTTCTCGTTCGCGCTTCCACTAGCGAATAGACCCGAAGGATAGCGAAATTATGTATACATCGTCTCTGGGTGTGAGTTCCTATGCATTTCAGCACTTCCCAAATGGTATTTTCAGATGGGCCCTGAGTCGAGTCGGAGCAGTTCATAAGATACCGTGACGTCCTGCCCTGGGAGCAAATGTGTCGCAGGCTTGCCGCTCTGAACTAGAACAGTGGTTAGATGTGATTGCGTTGCTTTCGATATCAGAAAGGTTCGACCACTAGATGGTGGCAGTTTATAAGCACACTTTAAAATGAACGCACTCGCCACTGGCCACTTAGAAAGGAACACACATCGCTCGGATCAACCAACATTTGGTGGCCTTCGCGGCGACGCTGGTTCCGTGCATCAGCATTGAATTTGTCTGGTTGCTCGCAAATCTTCGGGCAGCACAGCAGCAGCCGCTCCGAGCTCAGCTATCTGCGGAAATTTGCTCAGTTACTTTTGCGCAATCCCCAAATCCCAGTTCAATTTTATCTATGTATCTATCTGAAACTGCTTGGCAAATAGCAAGCTCTTGGCTCAGTCCCTCTGTCTCTCTGTGTGCAGGTTGAATGGAACTGTTGACGCAAATGGACAACAAAGCCCGGCACTCAGCAACCCTGCTCTATTCTTTGCAGCTGCCCAACTAGTGATTGTGGCTAAAGGGAAATGCATGGTTCGTTTAATGGCAACTGGGCTTGAATTCATGTTTATTGCATTTTGCCTCGTTCTGTGGCAAACAAATACTAACTGATACCAGCAACCTGCCCTTGCGATCTGCTCGGCGCTTTTAAAAGGTAGTTCTGCGCCCTGCTTAATTCCTGTATTCGTTCATCCTTTCATTTGGCCCAGGAGAATGCCTGGCAAAGGCCTCCCTCAAAGCCGCCGCCTCTGTGTTGTTGCTTTAAAATGTAGCTTTGCTTGTGTAAACAGGTACTTGATTGGCTGACCTCAACACCCCTCCACCGCCAGCTCCACCGCCACCGCCATCTCCACCCACCTGCAATTTGCACATGGCGTATGGCTTTGAATGGGAGATGTGTGCTGGTCGCCTTTGTTTGCCTAGATTGATGCTAGCTACGACCTATACCCTCTCCCAAGAACTGTGTTACTGCTCATCCATTCATGCTTCTTTTTATTTAGTTATCCAGACCGCAGGCAAATACGAATGGGTACCGGTGCTCTTGTCGGGGCAGCAAGGAGACGAAAAGTTGATTTGGCATCGGTGCGTATGAGCAATGCGTCCGTCTGCTTGTCAATTAGGCTGGTTTGTGCATAGAACGCAGCTTACAAGCTTGTAAGCAATCGATTTGTACTTCCACCTTCCCACCTAATTTCACTTGCATTCGCCGAGCTACTATCGAGCTTCTTTTTTATTTGTTTCCTGTGCCGTCGTTTCCTGTGCCGACTGGGTGGTGTGTAAGCTGACTACACATCCTTCGGGGAGTGGCACAAAGCAGGCCTTTTGCCGCACAGCTTACGGACCTTCCTTTGTACTTCGGCGGCGCATTTTTATGTGCATATTATTATCCATCATGTTCCGGAGAGCCAACGATTGTCAGTGGTTCCTACGATGCATCGGAAAGGAAATTCACAGGAATATCATATTTTTTTTACGATTTGAATGTGAGCCATGTAATGTGCGCCATCCAATTCAGCTTTTCGGATCTCGAGGTATAGTATCCGTGGTCTCTGAGCTCCTTGGCTTATCAATGCTCGCGCAATGGTATTAGTTCAAACTCAGTCCCTAGAAACTGCTCACAACTTAAGTATATCTAGGTCTGTTCAGGATGCTTGAGTACTGAATCCACGAACTACACAAGGGATGCAGTTTCGTTTTCAATATTTTAGTACAGAGCGCAGCAGTTGACGTTCTATGTCGTGCAGAAGGTGGTGGCCAAAGGTAAATTTAACCGCACATTGGCAAGCATTTCACTATTAATTATTTACTGAAGAGGCAGGAAGGACAATATTAATTTTCCATTTTCGTTTCCAATTAAGATTGCTGCTCAAAGGAAAAAGAGTTTCAGTGGAGCAATAAAGGCGACATAAATAATATCTGATGATAAGGCGAGTGGAGCTCTTGGGATGGAACGCATTTCAGCAGTGCTATATGAATATTCGATTAATTGGCAGGCCAATGAAGCCATAAAATTAGAAATCACAGAGAGAAAAAGCATGGATTTGACTATTTGTTTTATATACGTTTACTTAGATATTGCTTCCCATTCGGCATGCTCGAATGGCCAGTCGGAGACAAAGAGTGTGGCATTGGCCAGGATGTCTATCCAAAGCACCAGCAGCTTTGGCAACAGCTCAATTATTCCAACTTGGCCTCGGCCAAGCATTTCTTAATAATGGCTGAAAATCATAGGAAATAGGGGATCTGCCAAGAATGGCAATTCCAAAAGTTTTCCGTTCACATCTTTGGCTTTTATTTGGGTGCATAAAAATTTGCAAGCTAATTTTTTAGCTCGGCTGTAAAAAATAAAAAGTGGGACCAAATGAAAAGCGAAGCAAGAGGGATGAGATTGGAAGAGCAGAGAATGAGATTTTTGCAGAGCCAAGGAAAAACTTTAAAAAGACCGCTATGTGAATTGACAAGAACTTGGCAAAGTTTACTATATATAAATGCTTATAGATGATTTTACTGCCGAAACAATAAATTAACACTGAGGCTGTCGAACAAACAGCGCGTCGGTAAACTGGAATGAAATCCAAGCTTCAAATAGTATTTATTTAAAGCTTACATGTGTGGTTATAAAAAAATCGGTTTTATTGGCGTCTTAAAAGTTTGCCCGTTTGTACGAATTTTTTTCGCATACCCAATGTGCAGATCAAGAAAATAAATTTTTTCCCGACCCTCCCAATCCGGAAAACGCCGTTCACCAATGAACATCAAAAGTCAACCGAAAAGCACGAAAGCAAAAGAGTTTTCAGCCGTTACAGCCATCTCCTCGCAACTTCGTTCGCTGGAATTTCGATTTCCCCGTCGCCGGCCCCTGGGAATATTTCACTAAATCGCCCGTAATCAATCAGTGGCAAATTAAATTTTTCCGTGCCAGCTTTGATTAAGAATAAGCAGTGCACCTACCGGGAACAAGAGCCCGGATGAGCGTTCGATGTGTCTGTCACGAAGTAGGAGCTGCAAAGTATCTCCTTATTCCCGAGGTACAAGAGTCTGGTCACTGTGTCCTCCCCAAAGCAGACCTCTTATGCGCCGATTCAGCCTTGTTTAGCACCCCAAACTCGACACCGGATTAATAAACGTGCCCCGAGCCAATAGGCCCACAAGCGCCGTTTACCACCCGCTGACTGCCATTTATTATACTAGCCATAGACGTCGCCACGGTGCCCGCAAGGCCGAGGGTGTGTGAAAAATTTTATTGCATACATTTAGCCCGTCAGCGTAATTTCTCTTTTTCGGGAGATTGGGGACGTTGCGCGTTGCGTGAAGTTTATTTGCTGTCGGGACGCTCTGACGAATGTGCATCCCCTCCAGGATATGGAGCATTTTCCAGGAATATTTGTGCGAAAATGGGCGGCAATTTAAAGAAAAGCAATGTAATGTTTCATTACTGGGTGTGGTCTCATCTACTTTCCACATAAACACCGAGACCAAGTAGTTAGCCACGTCTCCCACGTAAATAAAACTCCTAGTCAAGATGATGAATTGTATTGACGAGTCTTTTGGGATCGTTTTTTCTTACCTAATGTACAAGCCATGCTTTTTCTTCTACTGCAAATTTAAATGGACCTTTTTTGGTCGGTTTTTTTCGGCTTTCAATTCTTTTTACTGTCCGAAGTGGAGAGTCAGTTAATTGGTCAATTAGAGCAATTTACTTGTTTCTCACGTCCTTCGTCCTTAATTTAGGATAAGCTCACCAGTCACCAGAAAAGCTAAAGTTGCAAGTGGTAGCTGATGTCATCACAAGTTCATATAGTTCATGTCAGTTGATATTTATGTGCGGAATTAAAAGAAGGGCGTCACTACTACATCCTCTTCTCTTTGAGTCAATAAAAAAAGTTGTATTAACCAATAACCAATTAATCGATTAGCTTCTTGCACATCTCCATCTCTCCCGTACTGTCAGGTGAGTAAGTAATCTTCAGTTAGCTTAAGCATGGCGTCAAACACTGATATGAGGAACTGCTATGGAACTGCTATATTTCAACATATTTGAAAATTGTAGGCGTGTGATTTCGTGTGAGTAAGAGCCAGAAAACTGAGATTAAACATACATATTCTAGTGACGCCTATTTTTAAAATCCGACTATCAGACCTAACCTATAAGTCAATCAAAAATTTCAAGCAATCGCTCTCGAACTTCAATAAGCAAAGTAATAGGTATCTCAAAGTCGCGGAACTTGACCATTTGCTCTTGTTTTACTTTTTATCTTAATATACGGCACCGCCTCCCAGTCAGTAGATTTAAAATATAACGTAAATAATATAATATAACATCAAGCTAACTCCCAAAGGTTCGTAAATCAATGACAGCAGAATAGCAATAGTTCACTATTTAAATTTTCTCGGAGAAGTTCTTTGTTCAGCTGGGCAGCGATAGGAAACATACATACATACATTGATCATTCTTAAGTGTATGATATGGTTACTGAATTGTCTTCTCTTGGTGTACTGTAAAATATATTCCACAAGCTCATCCCGACATTGTGGGCGGTCCTCACTTATGTTTCATGCTAATATTTATTAATAGTTTTTGATAATACTCAGCACTTTTTTCACCTTCCATCGGTGTTTCTCCTCATAGTATTTTATAATACTGAGCACTTTTCCCATCTTCTATCGGTGTTTCTCCTCACGGTGGCGCAAACAGAAGGATCCCAGCTACTCCATTGCAAACTAAGTCACCACTAAATCAAAAGTAAAAGCTACCCGCTCACTGTCCAGGAATCAGTGCACTCTTTGAATTGCGGCAGTCGCTACGTGAGAAGGCTGTCTTTCAAATTTATGAACTCTTGGCATGCCAAGTCGGAGGCTCGAGACGAAAAAGTTGGAAAGAACTCGTTGACGTCCACAGGTCGAGCGGAAGTAGTGGCCTATAATGGCTCAAACTTAAATTATGCGGCAAGAGAACGGAAGCGAAGGACCAACGCAGCTCAAGCCAGAGCATTGGGAATGACATGCGGACATCCGACATAGGTCAGAAACCAAAGAGCAGCATGCTAAGCACTTGGGCCCAACCTAGACGTCTCGCACCACTCCCGACCGCCGACTCCCGCCCTGTCCATTGGCTTTATCAATTATGCAAATGGCAAATTTAACACCTCAGCAACGCGGCACATACGACAGTGCAGTTCAGATGCACTGAGTGGGGCTCTGCTGGCTTAAATTGGGCGGGGAAGGACTCTAGCGACGTCATTGGCCATAAATCGTTGTCCTGGAAGTGCAGTGGTGCGACGTTGGGAGATCGGGAATATATTTAAAGTACTTTGGTCCTCTGGCGGTATGTTGAAGTGCTGTGGCTGCTCAACGCTGGCTGACCTAACCACGCTGTTTAACTTTACGCTGTTAAACGGCGTTCCGGAAATCACGGCAAAGTGGATTTTTCCGTGAAACATAAAAGGAAAGCTCCCTCTGTCAATTAATGCAAACCCGCCGTGGAGTCGGGCAAAGCCAGGAGCACTTAATACTGGAGAGATCAGGACGAACCTGCTGAACTGGACATGAGAGCAGGGAAAAAATGAAGATGAAGTTGATTACGTGGTGAAATATTTTATGCGAATGCGAAAATGAAACACAAACGGCCAGCGGGCTATTAATTTATATGCACGTGCGAAAGCGAAAGAAAACCGCCTGAGTCTTAATACTTTTTCATAATACTCTGTCGCTTTGCTAGCATAAGCATTTGTTTTATTCCGGCCACACCCACATTTTCGACGAACTCCGTCAGCTGCTGCTAAGGTTTCAGGCTTTTCGTGTCCTGCTGAGCGCAGCACAAATGCCTTCGCTTATAATATTAAAATAGCCGGAAGCGGAAATTCAAAACGCCACTGCACCAACGTGTATCAGTACGTATGCATCCACAAGGGCTGCGGGGAGTAGGGGCTTTTACATATTTGATTACGTAGGAGAACCTTAAGGAACCCCTTGCATGTGGCAAAGTATTTATGAAAGTTGCACGCAGGCATTCCGAAAAAAGCGTCCTGCAGCCCAGACGAACTCCCTAGTCCAGTACGGGCTCTGATCCTGAATGCAGCTCAAATAAGGAGCCCACCCTACAGAAGCCCGGCAAGAGCCTTTTGTTTATATGCCCTGCAACAAATTATGAGTGCAGAATGTCGAAGGCTTCCTGGCGAGTGGTTGAATTATGGCAGCTTGTTGGCATAACATGCACGCGCCTGTAAGGCAGTCGAGGCTGGAGGAACTCGCCTGTAGTACAGCGAAAAAGGCACGGTCGAGTTCAACGACTGGAAATGGAATGGACGGACTTAGACGGACCCATTATGAGTAGTTATTTGATGCGACTCTGCTCTAAATGCACAAATAGCGCGTCAAGGTCATTCCAAATGACATGCTAGAACCATCTGACATAACATGACATTGATACCTACCGAGGCAATTACATTCCGCTCTGCGACTCCAAGGTCCTGGTATACCTTCTCTGGTCCTGTTTCCAGTTGGCTGTGTGTTGGGCATCAGATGCAGAAAGATGCAACTTCAATATCCCGTTTATTAAAATAAACGATTTCGGGTCGGCCAGTTTATTTTTACTTACATATTTATGCGACTATCTGCATGATTTTAGGAAGGACGCACTATAAAAGGACGCAATAAATCCAAGGGAGAATAAGTTGAATTTCTCTACTATTAGATTCCCATTACCCGGCTAAAACGAGTGCGAGGGAGATTAGGCGACTCTCTGACGCCCAACCATGCTAATCCCTAAAACTTTAATTATACCCATTACTCGTCGAGTGTAAGATATAAAAGATTCGTTGAAACTATAAAACAGCTAGAAGGAAGCGTTTTCGACCCTATAAATTGCATACATACATTCTTGATCACTAGCAGAGTCGATCTCGCCATGTCCGCCCGTATTGTAGGTCTGTAATTCTTTGTATTTTATTTTATTTAATTTTTACACAAAATCACCCAACTTACTTTTTTTGAACGCCGACCAGAAGTAGTGATCCCAGATCTCTCCTATCGATCTGTCTGTAACTCGAATCGATAGTATCGATGTACAAAGGTTGCTTATTTTCTAATATAATGTTCACACTTAATGTTCCTACATACAATAAGGTATTTCTACTACATATGTATCAACGTCGAGTTCTGCGGTACTTTAAAAGCTATTGAGAAAATTTGAGATTGGACACGCAGCGCAAGTTTGTTAACTAATTTGTATCAACAATTCTGTCTACTCTAACATCCACAAACCTTCCACAACTGAATCTTTTGAAAAAATTTTTGATCACTTGTAATTTTATTATTATGTTTTCCCCAAATTTCTATCCATGTGGCAGAAAATAGTGGAAATTTCTCGTTCGCAATTCCACTAGCTGAGTAACGGGTATCTGATAGTCGAGAAACTGGACTTAGCGTTCTCTCTTGATTACTCTACAAGATTAGGCATTCTGCTGGGTGACGTAATATGGTGCTAGCAAATTACTCTGCTCGAAAGCTGTTTGCTTCAACTCATTAATTATTCCACTCTTGCCATTTTGGACCGAATCTTGCCGATGAGTCTTAAACATCAGGGACCCAAAAGGGCTGTGAAAGGGTATGTGCGTCTAAGTGAATTACGGCATAGACGTGATGATGCACTTTTAGCAAACCCCGATGATAACTTTTTTCAGCACTTGCTCTCAATACTCAAATGTGCAATAAAATATGTGAAAAAATATTCCCTCTACTACTGGGATGGTCAGCTTGTAAATGGTTTTTGGCTTTACTTTATGAGGGGGTTCACGCCTCATCCGCAACCTTCTCCCGAAGCTCCCCGGCGTTCCTGCTCTCGACATCGTTTCTGCTGCTGTTACCACTTTTTATTTCCTCAATGCTGTGCACGGTTGCATCATCAATTATGCTTATCAAAACAGTGGAGGGCTAAACTTTTGCTGGCCAACTGCTGCCCGAGTGGGAATCCAGACACACCGCCCCAGCCCTACACGCCCTATCCACGCCCCATCCACGCCCCTTAACCGATGCCCTTCCCGATGACCCAACAACGGCTGCAAGTGATTTGAGTGCACTCGACAGGTAATAAATATGAAGTGCTAAACACGAGATATGCGCATTTTTCTGCCTGCAAAACTTTCGCCACAATGTGGCCAGCTATATAACTATATTGAAAAAGCTTTTAAACAATTGGCGTGGGTACGGGCGGGGCAACCATGGATTTACAACCACTCGAAGTTCAAAAGGCAAATATAGATAAAATTGTCGACAGAAGGGGTACAAGGTCAAATACACGGGCGGGCTTCTGCTTAGCTGAACGGACCTGAGCTGTATGGAGTTCAGTCCCGTATTTTCCAATCAATTAAAGGTGGTAGGGAAAAGAAGGTACGCAGCGCGAGTAGCGAGCATGTGTGGCACAGATTGCACAACAATGCACAATAATTTCTAACATCACCGGAAAACATGATGACTTACCGCCGTCGCTCAAAAAGTAGAGTACACGCTCACCAGCGCGCACCTTGTGACCATGGAGCGTATGCGCAATTTGAATGATTGTTTTTCGTTCTAGCCACGTGGGATTGGCAAGTGTGTTGATTACAGTTATTGCAAGTATTTGCAAATTTATTGTGTGCACTTTAGTCTTTTCAACTGTGATTAATGTGGCTTTACATTTTCCAAGTCGTTATTTCTCCCTAATGAATTAAAAAACATGAAGGAACGCTATAGTTGAGTGCCTCTAATATATGATGATTTTCATTCTCAAAAGAAACATCCCTCTATATCTATTTTTTAATGCTGCTTAATATTTAATGTTAACAGCATACTTTTAGGCTTTTCTAGTTAAAACAAGAGAGAATACTATAGTCGAGTTGCCCGACTATCAGATACCCGTTACTTACCTATGGAAAGTCATACAATTTTACACCTCGGTATACACCAGTTTTTTTAAAACATATAATTTCGGTTTTAATGTGATAAGAATTGGATGACCCTATTATGTAGCCGCAACAGAAACAGAAAAATGTATGTAAGGTATTAAAACAAATATCATTGGGTCCTTGTTTTTAATTAAGCCATGATTTTATGTGGTACATACTTTTTTACTGTAAGAGTTCGGCTTAGCAAAAATAGCTTACTTCTTGTTATAGTTACTTTAGGGAATTTAAGTATAAAAGATTATAGCACAGCATTTTTGGAAACATTTAACTGTCGAACAATATATTAATAACGGCTTTGCACAGAAATGACGTGCTTATTTAATAACATTTTGTTGAACATTTTAGGAAGGAATATTTATTCAATATTTAATCAATGTACATCGCCCATTTCTTTCTACATTATATTGATGCCCATAATTTAAATGGGTCTGAACAAATAATAAAATATAACAAATTTAAATATTATCCAAATATGTGTGTAGGCGTTACTATAATTTACAGCTTTTATAGTTTCCCAGAGATCTGGACGTTCTTACGGAGGGACGGGCGGATAGAAGGACATAGCCAGACGATGGACATGTTTATATGTGTATAATTATTTCCCATAATGTCAAAAAATTTTTTATTTTCGCCATCTTGTTAATGAAAGCCTTATACTGACAAATACAAAGAATGTACCAAAGCCGACAAGTAGTTTTAGTTAAAGACATTGGCAACATATTCTAGGTTTATGACAGCGTAAGCGCTAAAACATGCTCTTGTTTAGTTAAAAAAAAATTAAAAGTGTAAAGAAATTAGTTTTGGGTATAAAACAAAAGAACACGCTGGAGTAGATTTTCTCGACCTTAAGATTCCCGTTACCAAAGACACTAGAATAATTCTAGTGTCTGCCGTTACTCAGCTATTGGGAGTGCTTGGAAATATATAAAATTTGTTTTGGTATAGGGATAGAAATTGGCAAGAATAATAAATAAATAATATTAGTAAAATACAAAAAATTAAATAATTTTGTAAAGTTTGGCCGGGAGCTTCAAGCTCAAAGGTAGTATGGAAATGATAGCACCGCGTCCTAACGCCGCGTAATATCCAAAAGTAAACCATTTAACAATTTTATTATTTAAAAAACTGAAAATCGTTATTTCCCATAAATGAACAGGTAAGCGATTTAATGGCGGATTCGGAAAGAGCCGAGTACGGAGCTGTGGTGTCGGTGAATGTGGTTCTGCTTATCCTGTCAGCCATCAAACTTAATGCATCGTAAAATTCGATTATTTAATATTTTTTCACTTAGCCATACATTGGTGTTGAGTCCTGAGCTTTTAAGCAAACAGGCGACCAAAAGCCTGAATTACAGCTGTCACCGTGTGGCTGCATGTGTTGTGTACGGGCACAGCGCATATGGGTGGTGGCGTTCGCAAAATTTCCGTTCATCGAGGCGGCAGGCTGGCGCTGAAATTAGACTTCCACATTTGGAGGGCTCGAGGCTTAGACTTTCGTGCAAAACTTTTTAATCAAAACGGCAAATCGAAAATAAAAATGGCAAAGTTTTCAATCTCCCAAACGTCGAAGTCTTTAGACGCACTCAACTCGGAGCTGTCAACAGCCAATTTCGACAGCCCATTTGGCTGCCCCAATGAAGGAATGCGCCGTTGAGTTTGTGGTCTCGGTTCTGGTTCTGGCCCGCTTGGAGTGGCTTGGCAGGACTTTCTCGGTGTGTGTACACTATAATTTCTTGTTGAAAGTCTCCATTACTTTTGCAGTTCAATGTTTTACTTTTGAGCCTCCACCCATTGACCCAGGTCCGCGTTGGCACTTGTGCATGGCAAATTTACCAGGGGTTCATTTGATTTGCCGAAAACTTTGGTGGCCACAAAAGTTTGCTCCTCGGGGCTGACGGCAGCGTTCAGCGTTCAGCGTTCAGCGTTCAATGCATTTGATTTCACAAACACACTCGGCAAACTTTGGGGAAACTTCGTGGCAGGGGTTTTGGCGGGTGCCAAAGTGCAACATGTTCGCTGCGAACGCTGAATAAAATGTTGACAGAAAGTAAACTGCCGGTCTTGAGTAAAACGTCGAAAAATAATTGGCGCACCGCCCCAAAAAGATGGCAACTTCGTCAAATAGGCAATCCACACTGTGTGTTGCGTCCACAATGGCGTCCAATTATGGCGTGTTGACGAGCAGTCCTTACAAAGGCCTTTCAATCGATTCGGCATTTGTACGGAAGTTTGCTGATTGATTGGTTATGGCCCCCATCCATAGTTTGGGTGGATAACTTACCGAAATCCCTTTTCCAAGCCCTTAGCGCCAAAGAGATAAATGAGAAGTGAATTGCGTAGTTGTTATTTAAATTACATTTATTTTTCAATGATAATCACTTGATTTAGTTCAATGCATTCGTATTGTTTTCCACGCATTGCTGCTTTGGAATTTTTGTCGCCCACTTTCTTTGTATTTGTGCGTGCAAGCACAATGTAGGTCTGGATTTATGTGGATTTATTCATATCTGTACTATTATTAAATTCATATTCGTCAAATTGTTGCAAGTTGAAATTGTACAGTTATTTGCTCGAGCACTGACACTGAAAACAATTGGATGATCCTATATGGGTTTTGGTTTAGTTTCTGCTGTTTCCACACCAAGAGTACATTAACCTATCACCGTTTTTCTTTGTTTTCGCTTGTGATTTTCAATATTTAACGAAGGCCCATTACCGGCCATTCGATATACATATGTAAGTACAAAATATTTACAGTGGAAATGCTTAACAGTAAAAATCAACTAAATGCTTCGTTTAATCATTTTATTTCAATGGAATCGAATAACTTTAACCTTTAAATTGTCCAACGGGCCTTGGGCATACGCATACACATACAGACACATCAAAGAGGGTGTGGAATCGCTTAGTATTTTTGTTTTATCAATAGTTTATTAATGATTAAGCTACGATTTTGGGTTTGCTGTGGGTTCGCTCTAATGAATCTATTCAAACTTCAAATGGTATCCCTTACAGTTTGTTTGCTTGTTTCTTTGTGTTTGTTTGTTTGTTTCTGTGTTTGTTTCTTTGTTTGTAAATTACGTACCGACACTGAACGAATGATAGTTACTAGGCCGGCTAGGTCTGACAACACATCAATTTTAACTGGAGCGGATCCTCTATATGGTATTCTATCGTAAGTGCAGCCTGCAGCCGATATGGAGCCAGCCTAAGTTTATTAAACAGTCGAGAAGTTGTACATAATACGTTACGTAGATTTTTGTTTCATGATTGAGGTGAGGTGTCTCATGGCGGCGGCACAGGCGGCTCCTTGCTCCCGGCCCGTGCCGGGTCAGAGGTCGCGTACGATGTAGAGAATTTAATTGTATTACCATGCTAGATATCTGCTTGTAAAGTAATTATTTTCAATTTTCCGATTTGGCAGACTGATGAATTTAAACTATCCATTGTTCGACATTAGGCTAGGGTTTTGCCCCAACCCGCTCGACGCTCTCTCTTTTGTGCTTTTGCAATTAATTACAGCTTGATTTTGACAGTTTCAGAGCCCATTAGGTGTCCGCATACTCGGGCACCTCATTTCCGTCCAGCTCGCCATCCCTATTCCGTCCACGGGCCCTGGGTTATGCGAGTAATATGGGTAGTATGGGTAGTATGGTAAATGGGTAATATTGCACATTTTCAGTCAGCTGTATGGCTTGTGGTTGGAGCTGTACGATTTCCTTTTTATTTACACAATTTGAATAAATTTCCCAGAACACTCTGCAGTGCTCTTGTGAGTGCGAATGCGTGTGAGTGCTGTGCCATTTGCAATAGAATGTATGTACAAACTTAATAACATAATTAATTAAAAAGAGTTGACGCTCTCGTTTTTATGCTCGTTAACGTTAATATCGCCCCGTTTTTGATGCGGCCTTTTGGGTTGGACGTGCCCGCTGCTTTTTTGCTTTTTTGCTTTTTTGCTTTTTGTATAGATTTCAATTAGCCATTAGTAACAGTTATAATATCGCTTTAATGCGTTTTGTTCATATGTGTACGAGTATGTATATACCTCATCAAATGGACTAAATTGGCTACTTATGCAATTTCCGCTCGCAGTAAAAATTTTGGGTCGCAGAGCATTGATCTTGACCGAACAAAGGCATACAAAATAAGTCTAAGCTTTCAGCTCACCGAACAAGTGAAATTGCACTACACATATACGTAACATGGATGACGGTAACCGAGGACATGGAGGAAATTTAACCGAGCGATATTCATAAGGAAACTCACATACTCTGCAATCCTTAAACATACTGTACAAAATCAATGGGAGGGAGCTTGTTAGCATAACCAATTCTCCTTAACCAATCCAAACTGGTCCGGATGTACGGCTAACTGTCTGGCACACAAACAAGCCAAGTACACTCGCAGGTGTACGAGTGTGCACAGCGACGATTGGTTTAACATGATTTTTACACTTGAGTGCGCATCTCTTACTGAGCTTAGCTTAGCAATTATCCTAGACTGGGGTTATTCAGTTATTAACTTTGTTCGGCTGCCACTACGGCAGTGCCAACACTGAAATAGCTTAAATAGGATTTCTTTGTCGCCCTCCTTCCGTTCGCCTCGGCCAGCCAGCCAGCAGGTCCGCTTAGGTCAGGAAGATATGTCTGGTGGGGATTGGGGTCGCAGTTTAGGACAGTTTGCACAGACTGGATATCAGCTGGGACACTCACCTCACAACAACCGTGTTCAGCAGGAGACAGGGCGCCAGCATCGACCTAAATATGTGCGTCAGGCGATCGGCCGAGGAGGTCTTCCGCCGCGAGATTGCCGCCATATTGTCGCCTGCAGGTGGCAGTGGGGTAAATTTGAATTTGAGTTAGAGCCAGAATTCGCTTAGCGGCAGGCAGGCGAGTGCGAATGCGAATGCGATTATGTGCACCAACAAGCGTGCTCTGCATTTCCATTTTGCATTTTGCATTTTGCCCGCTCGCCGCATTTCCCATTTTCATTTTAATAAGCTGCAGGCTGCGCCATTTGCATACTTTCATTTACACGTCTTATCGTCATTATCAAAAAGCGTGCGATGTCTATTTAAATGCTAAAATTACAAGGAACGCAGCTCGGCGAACCAACAAGGGAGCCGAGGGCTAATTGTCCATGATGGGAACAAAACATCTGCATTGATTAAAACTAAATAGCACGGGCCCTTGATTTGGGCAAATCAAGTAAACTTGGGTAAAAACGAATGAATATTTGATTATGGTCCTTAAGTAAATACAACAAACGAGCAAAATTAAAACTAATTATTAATAAAATACACAGCTTGCGCAAATTAGAAACAAAACCATTATCGAGTTAAGCATACCCGTTTTTGACAAGAAAGTATATTATTTTAATTATAAGCCAAGAGCGAACGCATTGGGCGACTCGACTATGAGATACCCGATACTCGGTTAGTGGGAGAGCGAACGGCAAAGTTAAATGCTCTCTTTTATCGAAGGAAATTTGCAAGAAAACAATAAAATTACAAAAAACCAAGCCTTTGTCAAAAGTGTGGGCGTGGCAGTTTTGGGCGTTCAAGTGGGCGTGGCAATGTCTCTGGAATCAGCATGCGTAATCGCAGCTTTCTGCTTTAAAAAGTTCTTGAGACCTAGACGTTCAACGTTTAAATATATAGTACTTATAGTACTATTATTATAGGATCATAGATGTTTTATTCGATATATATTATTACTATAATATTACACTAGATTCGATTAAAATGATGTATATATTTTAGTTCTTCTTATTGTTTGTTTCTTTCTTTGCAATTTCTATGGATAACTTTTTTGCCGACTAATTAACTAACTTTTTTTACTCTAAAGCCCACAAAGTTAGTTACTCTAAAGCCGGGTATCTGACAGTCGAGCAAGTCGACAAACGAAAATGAAGGGATCAAGTCAGATGGCGCCATAAACAAATTATTTGTTTATTAAGAGAAACTCTCGTAGAATATAATGGTTTAGTTAATTATCAAAAAAAATAAAAAAGCGGAAATGCTGCCCTATTGACCCTTCGCAGAGAATTCCCCTGCAAGTCCCTCGTAATTCAACAAATACAGCATACCTTTTGACACGAAGACGTATATGCTCGCCGGCTCCGTGTTGCTGGCCGAGCAGGTGTAGTTGCCGGAGTCCGTGATCTGCGGTTCCCGGATGATCAGACGGCTCTGAGTGCGTGGTCCCGGGGTCGTCTCAATGGTTATGTCGCGACGGGAGTCGACGTAGTTGATCAGGCGATCGTTCTTTTGCCAGTACACGTACTGCGGTGGTGTAGGACTCTGTGGCACAAAATTGATGGGGTGAACGGAGTAGGGACTTTTCAGCTCACTTCTCGACTTACCTTTTCAATAATGCAAACTAAATTGATTGTTGAGCCCATGTCGACATGCAGCTCGCCGGAGCCCAGTATGAATGCCTCTGGAACAACCACTTGAAGATTCACAAAGTGGGAAATGATGCCAGTCGGTGTCGAGACCTGTGTGTTGGTGTTTGATTTAGTGGTGGATGGTCCGGGGAAGCGGTGAATGAAGGAGACGGGAGTGGAAGGAGCAAGTGTGGCCATTGAGTGCGATTGGTATTCGTAATCAACTTGAATCTTAATGCTTCAGCAAACTGCGAGCAAGAATTACTTTCTTCCCAGCTAGTTCCGAAAAATCGTTGCGAGTGCAAGAAATGTTGCACTCATTGAAATGCAAATCAAACAATTTCAATTTGGCACGCAAAAATGAAACAAAACGAACGGATTCTATATAAGTGGAGCGCTTTCTACACGTCCCAGCTTGAAGCTCTTCTGCAAAATATCCGGCTATCCGGCTATCCGGCAGGCAGCGATTTCAACTGCAGCTTCTCCGGATCCGGATCCGCTGCCGCAGTGGAGTAGGAAAATAACCATTTCGGCATATTTGCATGCAGCTCTCGTTTGCTGCTCAGCTTCATGGTCCATATTCTGTATTCCGTATTCCGTATTCCGTATTCCGTATTGCGAGGTCCTTAGTCCGCAGTCCGTTGTCCGTTGTCCGAAGACAGAAGTCCGGAGGGGACATCGCCCGACCCACTGACTCTGAGCCTGACTCGGTGACTGACTGGTTTGTTCTGGCATGCGGCTTCTCATATTGAAATTGCATGCAAACAATTTTGAAATTGAAGTTACGTTTCTGAAATTGCACCACGCCTCCTCTGCCCCCCTCCCTCCTCCCTCCTCCCATCCATCTAGTCAAAGCATGGCGAATGGCACTTGTGCTGCTGCACAAACAGAGTTGCTGTCAAGTGTCCATTTCAGCAGTGTCTAACTTTGTTGCTTTTCGGTTAGTTGTCCCCCTTTCCCGAGTCCCCCGCTAAGCTGTTTTTCTTCCTGCCCGACCCCTTAACCCCGACCCCCGACCCCCGACCCCCGCACGACGCAGCACCTTCCCTATTTGCATTCCCATGACTTTCGGGCTTACTTGTAAATTACTTCGTGAGGTGGAAGTCCTTGGTTCTTGCAGGACCCGCATGTGTCGGGGTCCGGCTTATCAGGACCCGTTTTCTGGCCAAATTCGTCGCAGACTGCCGGCTGACGCTCACACGCGCTGTCGGACTCGTCAATGTCAACGACACTATCCCAATCCCAATCCCCATCCCAATCCCAATCCCAGTCCCAATCCCAATCCCTCTGCCAATCGGACTCGAATGCGGATTGACATTCACATTGGAAGCTTCTCTGCCAAAGAGAGCCTGGTCAGAGCAGAAGGCCGCGAAGAGTGGCCTTAAATCGAACCTTTGCATACACAGCTTCATTTCCATTTTACAATTAAATCATGCGCAGGGTAAAAATCGACGTGACGCGAAATCAGCGAAAAGCTAAAGCCCGAAAACCTCAATTCAACGTTCTCGTGCAGGGAAACGCAGGGACGCGAATCGAGAGCATATGCAAATGGACTTTAGTTTATTTCAACTGCGCCTCATGCATAAAATATGGAGCCATCATTCCCGGCCGCCCCATCGGACTCCCACGCACACGCCCACTCCCATGCCCGTTCCCGTTCCCGTTCTCGTTCCCGTTCCCATTCCCACTTACCTGACACTCGTACATGCCGTGATCCCGGCGCTGCACAAACTTTATCTGCAGAGTCCACATGTTGGAGCCGGGCGTGTGCAGTATGGCGAAGCGCTCATCGTTCGTGTAGAGCTGGGCCCCCGACGACAGGATGTGCCAGTCCCGGCGGCGGATCCAAGATATTTGGTTCTGTTGACGAAAGCCCGAGCGGGCGCGTTATTAACGAGCGGACTAATTGGTAATCGAGTACTACACACACGGATAATTAATAGCACTACAAGTAGGCAGCACAGCCAGATCAGCCCATGCAATTAGCGAAACATGCGAATATTACTCGAAAAGTAATTAAAAAATACTCAAAAGCCCCACGCAGCAACCACCATCCCACCGCCGACGTCCGTGCCGCGTTGACTTTTCGCGGGGCTGTGGTCCTCTGGGGGAAGCTGGTTGGCTTAAATTACGACATTGGTTGACAAGTGGATAAGCTATTTTTAATGTGCCGACAGGTGCACGCTCACTAAGAAGCAAATTTAGCATGGAGCCAATTTATAGTAGGCAATTTCAGAAAATGCTTAAATAGGCTAAAACCGCCATGGGCACCGAAACTAATGAAGCAATTACATCTCGCCTTCATCTTAATTTTTTATTTATTTTTTAGTTGAAACAAAAAGCAAATTCGGGTGTGTTGTGGTCAAAAATCTTTCTGATAATTGATCATTTTGTCTACATACTTAAACGAGAAACTACAATTTACAGTTGAAAAAGATTGAGTATAGCTATATGATACTTGATATACTCATCTAAATATTATGAAAATAGTGTGCCTTTAAATATGAGTGGCGTCTGGTACGTACATATTCATATCCATCTGATGGCTACATAAGCTCGTCTAATTATCCCAAAAAAGAATATACATTTATTTTAAGGGATAGGAAATTCTTCCTTCTGCATATCGCTTTACCACCTACCGTTACTACGCGTAACGGGTTTATAAATTCCATCTACCATATCGCTATAAACTAGAAAGGCAGCCTGCTTCGGGTAGCCGACGCTTATCTACCCCTTGCACTTGTTATATAAACAATGGAGAACGCTATAGTCGGTTTCCCCGACTGTCAGATACCCGTTACTCAGCCAGTGGAGGTGCGGACGAGAAATTTTAACATTTTTCTGGCTTATGTAGATAGATGTGGAGAAGCAATAATGAAATGAAAAAAATGTTTCAACATTTTTAAAAGTGTGGGAGTGACAGTTTTGGGCGGCTTGTGGGCGTTAAAAGGTGCGTAAAAACTTCGAAATTGAAAAAATATCAAAAAATCAACACATTTTTCAAAAGAGTGGGCGTGGCATCTTTGGGCGGTGTTTGTGCATGAGAGTCAGTGTGACAAAAAGTTTTTTGGCAAAACTATAGAAATGAACAAAACTAATAACAAAATTTAAAAAAATCAAAACATTTTCAAGAAGCTTTGGCGTGGCTGTTTTAGGCGTTTTGTGGGCGTTAGAGTGGGCACGGCAAGAAGTTTTTTATCAGATGGAAAGCAATTTACTAAACTACCAAAAAAATTTAAAAAAATATCAAAACATTTTTCAAAAATGGTAATCGGGATAGTTTTGGTCCGTTTGTAGGCGCCAGAGTGGGCGTGGCAACACGGGTCAACAAACTTGCGCTGTGTCAATGTCTCTGGAATCTGCAACATTAATCTCATATTTCCAGTTTCTTTAGTTTTAAGATATCGACGTTCATACGTACAACGTTCATAACAACGAATCTATGACTCCTTTTCTAATTTTCAATTACTGAATGTTTCAAAACTGCAGCGCTCAGACTTTTGAAAAGTTTGCTTAGATTTTTTCATTGTATTATTTTCCAATTTCCACCAATATGCTAAAAAAATATTTCACGCCTATCCTAACGTCAAAAACCTTCATGCCCACACTTTTAAAATTCTTTTAATTTTTTTTATTTTATTATATTTCTTGCCAATTTCTACCAATATGCCAAAATGAATGTCGAACTTTCTCGTTTACATATTCATTATCTGAGTAACGGTTATTTCATTTTCAAGGAACTCGACTACTGCGTTCCCTCTTGATTCCATTTATATCTCATTTTTTCATTCGTACTACAAAAAATTCCTATTCATCCAAAAGTATGACTTTTGGGAATGCTCATGCAGCTAGCCTTCAAAGTTGGCATCGATACGGACGGACGGACAGACGGACGGACGGACAAAGATATGATTCAAATCTTCGATGCGTTGCCAACTTCTGAGTGAAATCAGGACACCCTCATCAAGGGTATAAATTGAGCCGTAACTAGTGCTGGCTAAATTGAAACAAACGTTTTCGCGGTCTAACAAATTAATATTTCGCAATAGTCGCAGCCCGGTATGCGAGGCACTTGGTTGTTAACCAACCGAATGTCAAACATTGTGTACTGGAATTGTCATCCTAACAAACGTTTGCTTTCAACTACAAATTAAGCTCTTGCTCTGCTGTTATTCGTGCTTGACTGCTTAACAAATTAGACTTTTGCGTGCCGCTTTCAGCAAAGAGGCAAATGAAAATGCCATATAATTAGACAGAAGAATGAAATGGAAATGAAAACGAAACCGAAACGAAACGAAACGAAACGAAAACGCAAATGGGAAAAGTGGGAAATGGTGCAAAATATCTCAAATACGATATGCACATAGAATTGCAGAAGCAGCTGTGCTCGCAGCAGATCCTGGCCATCTCATGCGCTGGTCCCGACTGGAATTCAATTTTGCTGCCACTAAACAAAGCGCTTTTTCATGCAAGGCATGCGGGAGGGGATTACGGACTTGGGGTGTAGGGTATCGGGCTTGGATGTGGGACATGGGGTATGCGACACAGGACAATTCAGGATGTGGCATTGTGATTTGGGAAGCTGAGGGACAGGGCGTGCACGTTGAACAGAACAGAACAGAACCGAACCGAACAGAGGAATGTCATTGCCGTTGCCGACATCGTGGTTCGACGAGGTACAATTAGAAAGACAAAAACAAACCCAATTTACACCCACTCTGTCCACGCCGGAGACCTTGCAGACCAGGAAGGCGGTGCCACCCAGCTGGACTGTGGTGTTGTGCGCCATCAGCTTTTGGAGCAGGAAGAATCGCAGAACGGCGGCAGAAAGAAACGGAGCGGGAGAGACAGAGAGAGAGAACACAAGACAAAAAGTTAAAAGTTCATTTTTTACGATTTGTACGATTTTACGATGCCGAAAGAGGTGGTTAAAAAACGAAACGCATCCAAGTCGCACAATTAGTCAGCAAAACAGCGCCAGCCCAGGATCCACGACCCGGACCGAGCAGTACTTCAGAGGAGGAGCTACTTGGGCAGGACCGGGACGCGAAGAGGTCGACTGGGTGTGGGTGGTCGTGGTCCGGGCGTCTGGTGGTTGCGGCGCGCCTGCTATTTGGATAATTAGATTCGAAGCCAGCGCGAATGAATTATAAATAAGCACTAAAGATTAATTAGTCCCGGCAATGGAGTCCAGATCACATCGGACTCGTTCCCGCCGTGCTGGTAATTAGTGTTAGTGTGCTTCAGTGGGAAAGTGGTCCGATTGGTGCGTCCGGGCTCCTGCTGCATCTTTCGGATACGGCACCTACGTATTGATCAAGACAGGGCACACTGTTTTGCTGACGAAAGCGGCTTTTGTGCTTGCTATGGCTGGATTCAATTTAAATTTGATTTCGGATGGCACTTTATTAAATCCATCCGGACGGAGGACGGAAGACGGAGGACTCCGGACGGAGGAACGCAATCTGTCAATGGGACTTACCTCACTGTCCTCGAACATTGGACTGTCGCTCGAGTCGAGATTATTATCCAATTTTGAATCGCCATTTATACCGCCGCGCATCCATAGCTTCTTCCAATCGTTATCTGTGAGTATTGACTTTTGATCTGCAATCAGAAAATAGCAGCCACGAGCGTTAGACAAAACCAATTGCAGAGTGAAAAGTGCAGTCACAAATTGTGTTAAAGCCCGCTTCTTTTGCCTCTCTTGCCACCAAATCCGATTGATGCAATTCGACTGTAATCAGCACAAGTGTCAGGCTGGTGCAGCTAGCAAATTAATGTCATTGGCCCGAGGCCAGAACTATCCAATTTCAAAATCCAAGTTCAAAACACTCACATTCGCGCTTTTCTAAGCCTGCTAAAATGTGCAGTGCCACCTTTTTTGCGTAAGTCTGACCATCCATCTAAATATCTATGTATCTATTTTCTATATATGCATAGAAACAAACGCATACGAACTTTCAAACATGTAAAGTGTGGCATTCTTGAGCACACGCAAGTTTTGAGGATATGTGTTACCCGGAATTTTGGGACTTGAACTTGGAAGAGCGCACCAGAAGAGCTAAACAAATCACAATCATTGGACGTGATAAAAGCATTTCGTAGTTGAACCAAGTTCTACCACAGTTTATGTTGAAACTAATGAGGGGATAGAAGGGGAAGAGCAGTGAAGTTGGCCCTCTTCACAGGTAAGATTTAATTTCTTGAGCAGCTCTTAATCTCTGGCTGGCAAACTTAGAAAATAATATTTGCTAAAAACTTGTGCAACTAAAATCTGTATGCCATCATTGCCTACGACCAGCGAAGTGGCAATTAATATGCCGGCTCTGGGATTATTAAGAATTCACCGAGCCTTCCTTTCAAAATTTAAATTTAATCAGAGCAACTACGGTCCCGTCTGCTTTTTGCTCTAATTAGGAAACTTTGATTGCCCTGGCAACGCGGTCTAGTAGTTCAGCTGACCGTTTGGCATCCAAAATTAGATTTACGCAAGAGTGCGCATCGGTTTTTAATATTTTCTATAGTGCGTGCTCGAGACTCTGCAAAACGGCGGGGCGAAGGTGAAGGTAGGTCCTGAACTATTAACCCGCTGGGTGCTCAAGAGCTGTGTGTGGTTGGCTGTGTAAGTGAGTGCCCTCTGGAAGGGAATTTATCCAATCAATCAGGCAGCGTAACCCGAAAACTCTGCGAGCGACTCCTTAGCCTTGGCGGCTTGCAATTCGTTGTGCTAAAAATCGAGAAGGGGATCCACGGATCCACACAGCGCCCACCTCCGGCTGTCGGCCATAAAACACAGCGGAGCGAGCTTACACTTTTATTGCCTCGTAAATTTTTATAGTTCATACTTTAGGCATGCGTATGCAATCCCGCAGATGTATGGTATCTGTGAGTGTGCTGCTCCTGCGTGTGTGTTGGGATTGTCCTTTTTGCGCTACCACGTTATTTATGTGACCAAAGTCCGCAGTGACGTCAAGGCCCACTGCATTGATTTCGAGTTTGTTCTGATTGACCGAATGCGAATTTATTTATTTCGTCATCAGATAAATCCACAGTTATGATTTGACTGGGCGATTCGCAAGACAAAGGACGGAATACCAAGAAATGACAAAAACGAAATACGAGCTTGATGATTTCCATAATAAATACAATGCCAATTAAAGTACGTATATCTTCTTGTTATAAATTGTAGCTTGTATCTTTACTAGCTTTTCAAGCTGCCACTTGGTGTTTTGTTTGCTGCTATTTATTTAACCTATTTAGCTCATATTAGCTCATCTACTAGTTATGAACGTTTCCGCACAGGAAAAAGTATGTAACAAGAATGTTAGGAATTATTGTTTGGGTCATCTATAAACGTAATGTATTCATACTGCGACATTTTTAATCGTTCTAACGATACTACAGACGAATTGCGGCTATGTACGGAATTCCAATAACCATCTGCATCCGAAAAAGAGAGATTTCGAGTCATTGTAGAGCTTACTCAATGGAATAGGTTACTAAGGTCTATATATTTGTGCTCCAATGCTAACGAATCAAAAAGGAATTCTCTAATATATTCCATAATCTTTAGCATTAAATAATACACAAGCTAAGGACTACCTTTCATTTTTGTGGTGGGTTCGCTTTGGCGTATTTGGGTATTACGCAGCGTTCTACACACGAATCGAAAGCAATATACCCTCTACTCATCGGTGTTTGGGTATACAAGTCAAGGGCAGACAAAGGCGAGGCCACTTGACCTAAGTCGACTGAAGGCGGCTTTATGACGGGTCAGGTTGGTTTCGGTGGTGAAAAGATAGAAAGCGAAAATGTTTGCACACACACACCCTCACATCATTTATTCCTGCATTTGTATGCATGGCGGCCCTCCACACACAGGCAAGTGGAAATATATTGGGCACGTTAAGAGGAATTTAAATGCTCGGGCCGAGACACAAAGCCAACTGCTCAGAACTAAGGTCATGTGGCAGAGTGTGGCAGCGTGGCAGTGTGGCAGCGTGGGAGTGCGTTAGTGGAGGGGTGAAGGCCGAGCGCGATAATAGTGGGAAAACACGCACTGCTAATAAAATGGCTCGGGCCGCGTATTCCATCGCATCCTGTTCGGCTGGGCGGTACGTGCGCATGTCGGCTGCCTGCGGCTTAGGCGTGTGAATTATATTATGCCTGGAAGTAGGCAAGTGTAATAAAACTTCGCCAGAAGCGAAGGCAAGCGGGGCCGGCGGGGGGTTTTGGCTAGAAATCCATTTCTGGGCTAACCGGACGCCGCAACAAAAGTGGCTATAACTGGCAATACTCGTGTATAAGTTTTCGTTTCGTTCGTCGCATATTTCATTCCGCTGCCCCTCCACCGCCCTGCTAAAAGCGACTGCTAAAAAGCGATAAATAATGAAGTCAGCAAGTGCGGCTGGCATTCTCGCATGTTTATTATTTATAATAAATATTTCTTGTCAATCTCTCGACCCGACGCACCCACCGCTTAAGTTGTATGGCCCACAGGCACGACACATTGGCTATTGTCCTCCTTGTCGACGCTGTTTTTGTTGTGGCTGTTGCTGTTCCTGCGCACTTGCCACGCTTCAAATTATTATTTATCTGTCCCAGCCCTGTCAGCAGTCAGCAGTCAGCGCCGAGTCTTGTCTGCCTCGCTGCTCCGCGACGTATACGTAATATTTTAATACCCCGCCAATATGTGTGCGAGTGTTAATCCCTAAATCTGCTTAAGTCGGCGTTCTTTGCCCGCCCGAGTGCCGAAGTGCTTAGCTGTTTTAAGCTCTCCGCCGTGGCCCCCGTAACCCGTAACCCACACCCCTTAACCCGTAACCCATAACCCATAACCCATGAGCCACAGCTCGCAGGTGAAAGATCCCGCCAGGTTTTACACACGGCCCACGAGCTTAATTTTAAAACCGCTAAGCAAATTTGCAAAAAAGCTGACTGCGCGGCAGTGTCTTCCTCAGCCGCCCAGCTTAAAACTCATTTGCACTTGAACGAGTGTTCGCCTGGGAACGAGTGGGTGGAGCAGCCAGGTGACAGGCATCCGCTTGTGCTTGGTGATGTGTGGGTGCTCCGCTCAAGGTCGCTGCTCCACACGGACCGACGTACATGTTTGCCTGCCATTCACCAGCGAAATAATGTTTTTCCAGCGAAGCCAGAAAAATGTTTCCGTGGAAAGGGATCGTGTTATCAGTAGGCGATACCTCGGTCCCTCCCTGCAGAGCCTGACCCGCTCCCAAGTGACGATTTGCAAAAATCTGGCCCTGAAATGGGCCCCCAAGAAACTGGCTGCGTCACTCCACCTTGTAAATTTCACCTGCGCCGACGCCTTCGCTCTGCTCCGCAGATACCACGCATATTTTCACACGCCACGTCACACTTTCCGTGCAATTTAAAAGTCAATTTTAAAAGTTTTGCCCGACAACGATTTTCGAGCCACAAGTCGTCGCCATAAATTTTCTATTTTCCATTTTTGCACTGTCACACGAGCTCCGTTTGTCTTCGGCGCCCCAAGTGTCCACCCCACTTCCTCGTCAGGTTGCGTAATGAGCGGACCGCGCGATTTGATAAGGTGTCGTCGTGGGGGGCGTGGCAGGCTGGGTAATTTATGCGTAACGCGTTTGTCCGGGGGCGGCACAAAAAATAGCACCAAACAACAGCGGCAAGCGCCGCGACTTCGACTTCGACTGCGACTTTGCGTGGCGCCCCAGGTCAAACCAAAGCCGCAAGGACAGCGACTCATCAACAAGGTGGGTCGCCCTTGGCCCTTGGCGCTAATCTCTCCCCTGTGTATTTTTCATTATCCTTATTATTTGTGAACGTTACGTGTTGGCCATAACTTAGGCGCTCTAACAATGCGTATACGTGCCGCTCGCCGCCGTCGGGCGGCAGGAGGCGGGTTTTTTGGGTGTGTCTGGCCGCCTATTTTAAGTGAATTAGCGGAAGGTCAAATCGCAGTGCTCCGCGAATGGGCATTGCCTAGGATATCCGCGGGCTTAAGATACTTGGCTGCATTTGGATAGCTGCTCAAGGCCTTGCCCACTCCCGGGTGCCTCGCGCTCCTCGCAGCTCGGTTGCATTCCATTTGCGAAATGAATTGCAAACATTTAAATATCCCACCTACAGCAGAAGCCGCCGTGCCCTCCCATAACTGAAAATATTCGAGGCAAAGTTTTGTGCCGCAGGTGCTTGCTTAGAACACTTGGAGCGTAATTAAATGCGGCGGAGACTACAATAAAATTCCTGGCACTATAAATCCGCAAATTGGTAAAGTTTCGCGCTGGCTTACGAGCGGCGCTAAGGAGCTTTAATTGCGGACTGGGACTGATTTGTTAGCTTGTGTAAATATTAAAATAGACTGGGTATCGGAGAGTCAGTCAGTCCACCGTGCTAAGCCGTTCGCATAAATTTCGCCTTAATTTACTTAGCACTCAACCAAGTCCCTCCAAGCTGGTCTAATTTAATTCTGGGCGGGGCAGGACAATAAAAGTGGACACGGCTAGGTGACTTGGGGTATTGGAACGCACCTGGCTCGAGGGTGGTGGCCAGGAGCAGCGTCGGCAAGCAGAGCAGCAGGATGCGCAGTTCCATCAGGTGCAGGGGCCGCCGCAGACGCAGCAACAGCCGTGGCGGCACCATTGGCATCCTTGCTCCCTTCGCCAGGCCCGTGGTTTCCCTGTTGTTCCTCCTCCTCCTCCTCTCCCTCTCCCTCTCGCTCTCCTTCCTCCTCCTCCAACGGCCTACTGTCCACGGCCTTTGTCCTGGCACATCGATGGGCGGGCGGAGCGTATTGTCTGACTGGCTTTTGTGGCTGCTTATTAGGGTTAATGGGTTTTTGAATGAACGCGCTGAATCCTTTCAGCTACGGCAACCACACAATGCCGGCATCTCCGGCGCACATATGCCTCGCCGGGTTGCTCTTGCTGCTGCTGCTGTTGCTGCTGCTGCTGCTGCTGCTGCTGCTGTTGCTGCTAGTTGATGCGATGCGATGCGTCGCTGATAAATGATGCTGGTCCGATGGCGATGTGCAGCTCAGCCTTTTTGCCAGCTCCGTTTTTGCGTCGCCTGTCAATGCGCTGTTGTCCTGCGAGTCGAGTCACAATGCTCGTTGCCGCCTCTCGCACTGCTCGCAAATTTGCAGCTCCTTCCTCGAGACTTCCCTCGCTATTGAGTCTATTGAGTCGGTGCGGAAAAAAGCAGCACGGTCTTCATCATTTTTCATGTCACTGCGTGTTAGCACATTAAGCCACGTCGGGGTCCGTGTAACCCTGGCTGTATCTATCTTGTATTGTGTGGCTGGCAAAAAATTAACACTCGCCTTTTTATGAAATTACATTCAATTTGCTCTAGAGGATGTTCTGCCTCCTTGCCTCCTTGCCGCCTCCTGCGAAGAACAATGTCGGAAGCGTGGCGCCGATGATGAATCGCCTTCAACGTGATGTCCTGTGTCCTCCGAGGGTCCTTCCGCTGCGCGGCTCCCTCTTCCCGCGTGGTTAGCTGAAACGAGAAAGCACGCATATGATATGGCTGCACATAATACATAAGGAGTAGGAGTAGGTGCCTATAAAAAAGTATAGAAATAATGGTCGCTTCTAATTACAATCGCAATGCCCATTGCCCGACCTAATTCCGACGGTCCGCTCGACTTCACGAGCGGCGCGCTGGGGATGCCCATTCATTTGCATATAGAAGGAAATTTATTTATTGTTCGAGCGAATTTGGCACATTATTTATAGGTCAGCGATAGCAGGACTCCCCAGCGAGGGGAACGAGGGGAGCGGGGGGAGGACTGGGATTATGCAAAATGACCGGCCAACAATTTGCTGAACTGGACGCTGCCCAGCAGGACTCAGGCGGGGTTTTCCATAAATTTGTATTTATTTGCTCGCACGCGTGAGTGAGTTTATTTAAATTTTTATGCTGGGAGCCGTAAAAAGCGGAGAGCACTTGAGACTTGGACAAAGTTTTGTGGCGTGTCATAATTTTTATCTGAAGCGCGTATCTTTCTCCTGCGTCTGCTCCCTATTATTGCCTTACATTTAGTGGTATTTCACATTACGACGATGCTTACGAGTATATTGCTGTGGGAGGCAGGGACAGGCGAAATCCGGCGATTTCATGGACAGAGTTTGCTCCACTGGCCGGGAAAAAAGCAGCTCTAATGAATACAAATTTCACGAAGCGCTGTGCACATAAATTAAAATTGAAACTCGGCCGCAGAATTGCCAAAGCGTTCGCTCATTTTAATTACAGAACTATGTGGCTTTCTGAGCCCGCCGATTCAGAATTTCTGATTTCGCGCTGCAGGCCGCAAGTTTGCCATGGTATTTAATTAACGCCGCCGCGCTCATGGACAAACATTAGCAAATGTCATGCAGCCCGAATTTATGGCACACTCGTGTGCCATTCGCTTAAATTGATAATGCTGGGTGGGCGGCGATCTCCGGGGTGGCAGTTAGCCGTTATTTGCTGCCACTTTGCTTCTTTCGTTCAAATGCAGCAGTTTATAGTAATTCGGAGAGTAAATGTCATGCCGGAGGAATTCTTGTTTATGTATCTGTGTTCTTTGGCCAACTGCGAGTGTGTGTGTGTGTGATTCCTAGTGAGCGTGAGTGTGCGAGCTGTTCTACACAACTATGCACTTAAATGCAGTCACGTACACACACTGCGACGTACATATTATTATCTTGACACAATGGTGCCATAAAACTTAAAGACCCCCCCAGCGTTTTGCATTTGCCTTGCCTTTGCCGTTGCCTTTGCCTTTGCCTTTCCATTGCCTTTGCAATTGCGAGGGCAAGCGCTGAAGGACATGGCATTTGCTTTCTCCTCCCCTGACCCTCCCCCCCCCCATTTCTCCACCGCCCAGCAAGTTCTTTCTGTTTTTGTTTCTCTTTCTTCCTCCGCCTCCGCCTCCGCCTCTGCTTCTGCTCTGCTTTCCTCTTTCATTCCACTCGCACCCTGCAAATGCACATTTGTGTGCACTTCTCCCCACACACACATACACACTCACACTCACACTCACACACTGGAGCTTCCTCCTGCTGGCGCTTTGGAGGCTATATGGAAATTGTAATAAGTTGCAAACCCAAAAAGCTGATGTCATGAGGTTAGTTGCCGGGGCTCAAGTTTCAAGCGACAATCATGTGCTCTCCCTTTATGTTTTGTGCTTCGCCCTGTTTTGTTTTCCTTTCTTGGCTGCTGACCTCATACTTCATTCTGCAGCTTTTGTCTAGCCTGTCATACGACTGGGGCTCCTGCTTGCTGCATAATGCACTGCGAATGGGCGGTGAGCCGGCCATATTGTTGTTGCTGCCGCTTGTCCGTGCTGCCAGAAGTCGGTCCATGTTGTTCCCCACGAGGTCTCGGTGAAGGAGCTCGTATAATTAAGTGTTCCGAAGGACCGTGTATTATGGTTGACAGTATTTGCAAATAGCTATAAATAATTTAAATGCATGCTCGGGGATTTGGACCATTTGGACCGACCATTTGGTACGATAAATTGAGAGGCGGCACCACGGCGTATGCGTGATATGCAACGCTTTGGGAGGCAGCTAGGTTTCGATCAGGCTCACCTCACTGCTGCGCCGCCAGGCGTATGTCTCCACATCGTAAAGTCATCCCGAAATGAGTTACCCTCCAATGAGACCCAAATATTACTCTGGTGCTTGGCAATTTGGCCTCCGGTGGGGGGAGCAGGGAGCGCCCGCATTGGTTGGCTGTTTAATTAGCATTCGTAATTAGAGCGACTAGCGCTGAAACTAGATAATTATTACGGTTAACTCCGGCAGTGGCCAGCAGATTGCATTTGTCACTGCCAGCTCAGACGGCATGGACCAAGCTTTTTGTGCCGGATTGCAATACAAATGCCATAAATGCGGAGCCAGCCATAACAATGTCCATTCTGTGGCTGAATCGTTGGGGTTGGCTCCTTGCTTGCGGCCCCACCCAAGCCCACAAATTCAAATGGAAATTACGCGTTTCGAATTTTGATTGCACTTGAGTGCCTGCATAAAAATGAACATTAAATAAATTCCCCCTTCCCCCTCCCCCTCCCCCCCAGTGCCGACAATGCAGTTACACAGTAATACCATGTTCTCGGATACAGTCATTCTAGAACGAATACGAGTATGTGTGTCCGTCTGATTGCATGCGTGTGGGCATTTTGCATCTCTCATGTCCGGGTAATTGTTTTGCGCTCTTTTCCGTTTCCGGTGTATTGCACTTGAATGCCTTTAAATTGCGATATTTTTATTTACATTTATCTCGGCGTCCTTTCGGCCCTAATTATAGTGAAATTCATGCATAAGTGCTCTGAATCGCAGCACTTGTATTTATCCACAAAGAATTGGTCTTAAATCTCTTGCTGTTCACCAGTGATAATCACGGCATAAACAAGACTCCTGAATTTTGCATAATGGAACCCCGTTTATGCAATTTCCGCATTATAAATGATTTTACGTAATATTCCAGTTCACTTGGAAGCAATCCAAAGCCAAAACAATAACAGCAATACCTAGATCATGGAATTCTTATATGGCGATTTCCAAATACAAAGCTTACAAATCAATTATTAGAAATAAACTGTCCATTGTAGCTTCAAGTTTACTGGCCAGAACAAAACTACACCACTGATGCACAACGAGAGTTGGCCAAGATATTTCATGATCTTCAGAAAACAGAGCTAACGAGCTCGTTTCTGGAATGTATCAGGGCAGACAAACCTTTAGGTGTCGTTTTCGTGCGGAAAATTGGCAAGCTCAGCCAGAACACACAATCGCCATGGGTGGCAGTGTATGCCAGTATGGGAGACTTGTTTGCTATCCCGAGGGGCGCAAGAAATCCTTTCTAGAACTAGTTGCCAACATTTAAAAACGGAGAAACTTGCAGGCGGCAAAACTTTTTCAATTTAAGCCCGCTGCACCCGCTGCACCCACCGAACAGCCCGTCTGAGCTGCATCCGCTGCGACGCCATAACTTTAACTTTGGGCTTGTTAATTCACCGCTGAAAAGTGCATTGGCAACATTTGAATTATTCCGTGCCATTGCGAGCCAGCGAGGACAGTTTGCTGGGAAACGCTGCTCATTTAGCCTTAATTAAAAGTGCCGGAGTTGCCGAGCGGAGACTAAGTTGTCGACAGCCCATTTAGCGGGTGCATTCTTTAAGACGCGCGCAAGTTTGCTACCAAATATTTAGGGCACAGTTTGTGGCGCCCACCCTTTTGGATGGGATGGGTCGCGCCGGTCGTAGGGAAGAAAACTCGGGGCAGTAATAATAAAAATAAAACTATTCCTGGTGTTTATTTAAGTTTAGAAATTGTACAAATTTTCGTAAATTGTTTTGTGCTTTGCCACGGTTGTTACAGGCTAAAAGGACGAAACTTTCCCAGCCATCGCCTAGGTATTGTTTGGATGTGTGCGTCACTACATTTGTGCCACAGACGTCCCCTGCCCTCCTGCCCCTGCCTCTGTTCGTGCCCCCCACTTGGTCGTTCAGCATTTGCTTTTTTCATTCAGTGCCGTGACTGCAGCAAAGTTTTAGTTTGGCAATTTTGCCTTTCCGTTCGCTTCGTGGGATATTTTTCTTTCTATTCTCCTTTTTCGCTTCCCCTGCTTTCGCAGTTGAGTTTCGCTTTTTGGGTGGACATTTTTGTTTCGTTTTGTGCTTTGTTAGTTCCGTTTCCGCCCGACACACACACACACACACACACACCCACTTTGCCACCAACATCCCACTCCCTTGGTGGCAGTGCTCTATTTTCGCTGCTGGCCCGTTCGTTTTTATTTCATGTGGTGTTGTCAACTTATTTCTGCGTTCGGTGATTTATTTTCTAAACAATTAAAGAAAAACAGAGATACAAAGGGCGAAAAGCAGGACCGCTACAGATAGCAGCGGGGAAACGCATCCTCATGAATTTTTCAGTTGAATTATTTACAGGAAAACGCAAGATAACGGATGGCTGCATCCGCTGGATGCAGGTAAAAGAGGCGCGCAAACCCGAAACTAACTACCTGGCAACTATCTTTCAATGGCACAAAAACTATAGGTGCTTTGGTGCGCAACGGCAAGTTACTGGTCTTTGTTTCGCTGATCCCCAAACGGATGCTTCCCTCACTTGCTTGGCAGAGGCTATTTTCGATGAGCTGCAACGCTCCTCCTGCAGCAGGATAACTAATACGACGTTTCACCACTATTCCCCCACAAAATTAATTTCTTTTCGCTCCTCCGCCCGACCACGTGTGTCGGGTGTCCCCTGTGCCAGTCACCTGGCACATAAATCGTGGCAGGTATTTCATTAATTCCACGTCGGACGACGTCGCAGCGCATCACTGCTCATAAATATGTGCAGACACCCCGCAGACACGCCCAGCGCCACCCGCCCCCAGCCCCCAGCCCCCAGCCAAGCGCCTGCCAAGCGCCGCACGTACCTATAGACTCACCTATAAAGTCGTGTAATCGTCTTCATAATTCGCGCCAAGACAACTCGACTCAGCCC